CAGATGAAGGCAATTCACCTGTGCTACTGGAAGGGGTGGAGCTTGGCTGCATCTCTCCTAGATCCCATTTGAGGGCTGACTGCCACTGAGGAAGGATCTCTTTCTGGAGATCGCTCCTTGTGGAGTTTACTGTGTGCCTATGATGCTGGTGAGCATTTCCATTTATTTTGATTATCTTTCTATTGTGGAAATCTTACTAAGCCTAACCTTTGTACACCTATTGATTGTACGACATCTGATATAGATAGATTTTAATGTCAATGTTTTTGTCACGGCTTTTATTTCCTACTTTTTTGTTCTGGTCATTTATCTTGAAGTTTCACACAGAACTTCAACTTCATTCTTCTGTTTATTTTAAGGTCTACCTTGTCTGTAAGTATAAATGTTATAATCAGTCTTCAAGGTGGAGCACTAGTATTGTATCATATGAAAGAATCAGATGCTTTCTGCTTTGAAATTTGTGGTATTATAACTGGGACAGCAATTAGTTTGGGATGGGTTTCTAATTTTCTGCAGAGTCCCAAATGTTCCCTATATGTTCAGCTTGAAATCAAGGTCTTTTGAACAAAGGGAGTGTTTCTTAATGAGGGAGAGATTGAAGACAATTTATTTGCATTATCAGCATTTGCCACAATGCCAGACCTGAGATTAAGGAAAATAGCCATTAAGAAAGCAATGGAATCCTCTCGTATACTTAAAATCTATCTCATTATTTTCAGTCTGTAATCAAGACTTCTTAAAAATCAGAAATGTCCATTTAACGGTATCTTAGTGGCTAAGATGCTTGTTTATGAGCTTCTGACCACCATTTTAGGTTTTCTAAATAGTGAGATGTAAATATGGAGTAAATAAATGAAGCCTTTGCCCAGTCCGTTTATTTAAACTCTGTTTATGCTTCATAATTTCTGATTAGTAGAGAATATTGTTTAAATAGAGTAGCAGATATGTTTTTAAACACAATAAAACAGTGTTTTTAGTTGTAAAATCAAATTTTGCTATTGCAGTGAAGATCTCATCATTGGAACTACTTCAGTTAATGTATTACAGAGAAGTCTTTGGTGGATGATGTAAATCAATCCAATGAAGGGTTAACTGTGAAAACTGATATAAGTTTTATTTTCTTATAAATCAAGAGGTTGGTAAAATGTACGCTTACTGTTGATCATTAGAATACAAAACTATCTGTTGAAATCAATTAACATGCATATCTGATGACTGATTGTATAAATATGAAAGTCAAATAATTGTAATCGTTAACCATGGCTTCAGGTCATATGAGTTGTCAGCTCAAAAAAAAAAAATAGAGGAGAAAAAGGTTGATTTGCATATATTTAATGTGGCATGCTATACATGTGGGAATTTAAGATAAACCTTTCCTAGTAATCTGCTTGTTTTTATCTAAAAATCAGCTAGGAAATATGGATCATAACAGCCAAATGAGCTATGCGTTATACAGATAGCAGCTGATTCACTAGTTTGGGATTTAACGTTGTCCTGTAGGTTTTAACAAGTTAAAACTGTTATTTTACTAAGAGAGTTAGAAGAAGCTAAAAGAAAAGTCAGAAAGCTAATAGAGATACAGAAAGATTTTTAATAACATACTGTACTGAGCCACAAAGTTATCTTCTTGTGTGAAGTTGTCCAAATAGATAAATTGAATTCAATGGTCAATTATAATAACTGGAAGGGAGGGAATATGGCAGAGGAGTGAAGCTTCTGGCCTAGAAATTTTATGTATTATTTACTTTGTAAACATGATTATCCATTGAAATAGATTTTTTTCCCCCTATGAATAATGCAAAGTATCGCAGTAACTTTTAACTGTTCAAGAAATCCTTGAAATATGAGTAAGAATATAATGGTCAGTACCTATAACTTTGTTAAAGTGCATCTGCCTGGTATTTGTACCCAAGTGTCTATTCCTGAATGTCAATAAATCAATCTCATGTCCTAAATTTTAAAATTACCTAGTAAGCTCTTCCCAAATTTTGTTTTATGTATTTCCTAAGTTCCCAAAGGGAAGAATCAGCAGTATCTGATATCTGTTCATCTGATTCACACTTACAAACAAAGACATTTTCTGTTTGTGGTGATGCTAAAAGGTGGCAGATAGCAGAGGATTTTGTTGCTCCATGCTTTTTCCTGTGAGCTTTATTTACAGTGTTGCCATTGTTAGTATTTGAAGTTTGTTCTTGGGTACATGGTACAATTCACTTCCTTGTGTTATTACCCAGATCACCTTCAGTACCAGCTGCATGGCCTCCCTCTTGTAGCAGGCAGTTTCTCAGCCTTGCTAAGGATCAGAACTTACACAACTATTTTCTCTAGTAGTAAAATCTCAGTGCTGTAACATCCACCTGTATGGCATTGCGCTTTGCTTTAGTCTTCCACTGAGCAGTGTTTTGCAGGCACTGCTGGGTAAAGGCACTTATGTTATCTGTGAAGGTTGAGGAGAAGGAAGCCTGCTAGCAAAACAGAGAAAGGAATTGAATTCATTTTCTGTCATTACCTCTCGCATAGGTTGGAATTTATATTTGACTGCAAGAGAGGGGATGTAGCTGTATCTCAAGTTGTTGGTTGTTTTACCTGCTGTCTAAGCTGTCCTATCATCAAGTGATTTAGATGTCTATTCGAACAGAGAACAGTGACCCTTTAACACAGACAAAAATAGTTATGTGAGGAGGTCAGTTCTGGAACCACACATTGAAAGCCCAAATTAAACATGAAACTAATTGAAAACTGAGTGAATCTCTAAAAAAAATAAAAAAATTAAAAAAAGTGCTTTAAGACATTGGTGATTGTAAGAGCAATTTTAGCTCTACTGTAAACCTTTAGTGAAAAATCACTTTGCACCAGAGGCTGCCAAGCTGCAAATGCATGAAGATGATGTGTGATTTGGTGGTACTTCCTTCAGGAAGTGTGATGCTGGATTAATCTCAGATCGCCACTGAGCCATTGTATGTCCCAGTAATCTTGTGACAGTTTTTAATGTGTGGAGAAACAGACTACTTTTACAACAATCCATTATTTGAAAAAAAGTAGGATTTGAGATCTGTTAGGTGTGTGTTGAGGAAAGAGGATGGGTTTGCTGAGTATGGAGTGGGAATGAATTCTTGAACAGAAATCTGAGGACTGAATTATTTTTCCCACTTTTGAAAAAAGCATACTGTTAGGAAAAAAGTGTCTCAGACAGAAGTTTTTTGTACTCTTGTGTTTTGGGGCTTGCAATATTATTAACTCAAAGGGGAGGTATGCTTTTTCGTGATGACTATATTTAGCCAGGAGGAATAGTCCTTTTTAAAGCAAATTGAAATGAGTGTATGAGAGCGTGAAATTATCAGCAGCACTGGTGCACATTTACATTACTTCTACATACTCCTTTGAATGACCACACAACAGAACAAGTACTTCATTTCCACCGTGTTGATTTTTCTTGACAAAACATGGCAGTCTATCCAAAGGAGAGTGTTTAGCCAAGATAAATATAAAATTTATGATTAAGCAAAGTGTTTCCTTATTATAATCCCTAAAGAGAATTTGAAACTTGTTAAATATAATGTGCCCAGGTAATTTTAAGAGAAAATTATCCTTTATGCTTTTAAATGCTGAAGTACAGCAACAGCGCCAACCATTAAGAGATTTTATCAGCAGAAACAATGCTGCTTATGATTTGTTTTGAACCACCTAGTGAGAAACTGTGTATGTGAAGGATGCTCTGAAAGTAATGCCTCCTGCTTTATTATGTTGGCCCATTATGTCAGAGGTCAGTGTTGCTGATATGACAGTAGAAGTTGAACCTCCGACTGATATTGCATTACATGTTGTTGCCATGTCACAGATGGCAGCAGAAGGGCACTCTGACAAGATGGTGCCTGACACGGAGGTGTGTATGGAAAAAAAATGTGTGGAATTGAGTTCCTCCATGCAGAAAAAATGGCATCTATTGACATTCATTGATGCTTGCTGGATGTTTTTGTGGATGTGAGCAGAAAAAGGTGGTAGTTGGTACATTTCAGCAGTGGCAACTGTGACAGCAGGTCAACCCCACTGGTGCTGATTTCTACAAGCACGACATAGGTTCCTTTTCATGGCTGGTGAAAATGCATAGCTAGCAGTTGTGACCATGTTAAAAAAATAGTGGTTTGTAGCCGAGAATGTGCTCTAGCAAATAGTGTTATTGTGTTCGTTGTGTCTGTTGTAGTTTCTGTGGAAATTGATAGGAGGTGTTACTTTTGGAGCAACGTATGTATATGCTACATATATTGTTCAGCAACCTCAGGCTTAATGTATTCATTCAATTTAATAGGTTTGTACAGAGTCTAATACTCCACATCAGTGGCATAACTTATAAAACTGTCTCACTTTCCTGTAATGTGTATTATGGAAGGAAACAAACATTTTTTGACAGAATGGATAAAATTGATAAATACTGATAAAGTGATTACATTTCTGGCACGTTTCTTCAAGTGTTCTATTTACAGAATGCCACTTTTAAAGAAATTGCGGTGATTGTCAATAATATTCATTAGAATAAATGGAGACTGAAAGCTGGTTCAAGAGATGAGTGGATTTTGACCTTTGTGGTATGAGTGTTGGCTTTGGAGTGCAGAGTTCTAATTAAATTATGAATGTAGAGGAAATGGTCTCACTGTATTCTATCAAGGACTCTGAACTACCAAAATCAAGGATAACGTTAGATGTCAGCCAAGTATTTTGTCCTTCTCATGGTTTGTCTTTACATCTGAATTAGTGCCAGTTTGCACAGATTGTGTGTCAGCTTAAATACAAGAAACAGGCCTCAGTCTGCTTGAACTCGTTCCACCAAAGACTTCTAAAAACTTTTGGTAGTCTGCAAACTGTAATGGTTGTTTCACATTAAGATGCTTTGTAGAATTATAAAACAGCTTTTCTTGTGCTTTCAAATAAAATGTTGTCATCCGCTAATGAATGAGATACCATCTGTAATAATTAAGGTTATTCTACTTGTTTTCCCCCTGCAGCAAAACTTCTGAAGGTTTGCAGAACATAGCAAGAGAACCACCAAGAAGGCTATTGCAGTATTGTAAGTACTGCACCCAGAAAACAAACAAGCAAATTTGAATTAAGAATGTTGTAAAGAGATTTTTGCTTTTGGGTGGGGGGGGGGGGGGGGGGGGCGGGGGAGGGGTAAGTGAGCTACGTAAAGGGGTTACATGTAAAATACAGAGCAGCATATATTGTAGCAATCATGTTAATAATTTACAAGAAAAAACTGCACTCTTGTAAAATCTAAAATTGTATCCTTGTGCAGTGTAATCAGGAATTTACCAATAGCAGTGAAAACTATTTCTGTATCCACCAAAGATTGATCTAGTTTATATACATTTGTTTATTTAAAACTATCAGAATTTAGAAAATCATTGTAGTTTTGTAGGTTTGTCATTTGTTTTAGTGACTTATTGTTTAGGTTATTTTGCAGAATTATTTATTTGCTGATTTATTTATGTATTTCATTATTTATTTATTTGATTATTTAGTAAATTATTTATCTGATGAATTATTAATACATCTTCATGACATGCTTTAAATTATTTATAACTTAATTTTGAGTTTATTGCTTTTCGACGCTGCATTGTTACTGACTAGTTTTGATTTTTTTTTTCTTGGTTCTTGAAAATTAAAGTACTAGCTCTAAGGCAAAAGTATATTCTTTGCAGAATCTGTAGATGGTTTTCAATGAAGCAATTTACCATGTAGATACTAATTTTATTTAGTGTAATATTGCTTAATATCACTTTTTTACTTAGCATTTGCTCAGATTATTTCGTTATTGTCTCAAGATCAAATGAGTGACCTTTAAGGAGCAAAGATAAACATTGGCTTAAAATACGTAGAAACAGAGCTGTTCTACTTCCCATTATTAAGTACTGTTTAATTATTCTTAAAGTTCACTTGACATATTTTTGTCCAAATAAAATGGATGGTTTTAAAATGAGCCTCTTGATATTCAAACTAAAACATTTATTTTCTAATAAGAAAATAATATAATCACAATAATAACTCATACGGAGATATTCTTCTTACTGGCCAGGTTTCAAATATGTGAAGAGAAATGGATGGTAATTCTTACACACATACAGAACAAGATATTTGTCTGGGAGGGAAAATGGGTAATAGCGGTTTGGTTTTTTTGTTTGCTTGTTTTTTGACTTATAGTGTTATTAGCACACATAGGAATTTATAAGCTCTGAAAATGTAGGGTCTCTGTGTTGTTGTGAGCACAGAACGTGTCAGCGGTTTACATATGAAGAGCAATTCTTAGTGCACAAATTTAGTTGTGAAGCCGGTTTTGCTTTGCTTTCTTTTGCCAAGCAGAAATGCTTGAGATACCTTCATTTTCTCTAACAGGCCTGAGTAAATACATGAAAGGGCCCAATTTCAGGCTGCATATGAGCATCAGTTCTGTAGTCTAAAATAGGTGCCTCAGATCAGAATTGGGCTTAAAGATGGTTGCCTGATCTGATTTTTCCCTCAGGAACTGTGAGACTCTTACCTGAAGTTACCTGCTCAGTTTGTTACCTGCTCAGTTCCCAGTGATTAACTCTCAGCAGGCTGAAGCTAACTTGTAGGAAAGCACAGTGACTGACAGCCCTGCTCATAGAGCTGGAAGAGCTGCAATGAATTGGGCAACGCAGTGGTTCTTGTGGAAAAGAGCCGTGTGCACAACATGGCCTTTATTCTATGTTTGGTGCTTCAAATGAATTACTATGTACTTTAAAGTTTTAACACAGCTTGGGAAGGCTGCATTGTACATTTCAAGTTTCAATGCTGTTGAAATACAGTAGAAATGGCCTCTGTAGACAGGTTTCACTATAGAACTTAAATTATGCATGTGTATATCCAAATTCCTTATTTTGAAATATTGAATGTATGAATATTTAATTTGTATCTTGCTTTAGTATCTTCATATGCTTGCCTTAAAGGAAGCTGTTTCCTTTGATTTATGTACGTGGATAAAAATGTGTGTACAGTATGTATCAATGGTTTTTCTCTCTACAGTGTTAGATGAACAGCTTTAGATAATGATAGCTAGTGATTTTTATTCTGCAGCTTGCTACCATTTTATAGAACATAAATTTGTTGTATTTGTTCTATTAATCTTACTGGAGTTTCAAATTCATTTGCTTTCCAGAAATATTTTTGTAATTACATATGTTAGGAAAAGTCAAGTATAGAGATGTTAGCAATGCAGTATTTTTGGTTTGTACACGGTAACAAAGCCCTGACTATTGTCATTCTTAGAGGCAGCATTCCAATGTGATTTTTTTCTCTTTATATGAACATTTTGAATGAAGTCGAGGACTCCAAGGGAGTTTCTGAACGAATACTGGTTTGTAACATGCTGTATGAAATTTTGTGCAGTCACTCTTATTTCCTTGTGTAAATGAAGTCTTATTGTACCATAAGACCCATTATCAGCAATTACAAAGGTAAGTGCTGTCAGTGTGCATTCTGCCATCGTTTTCTCAGAGTATGAAACATTTCCTGCAATACATGCTACTACTGTTATAGGGTAATATAACGCAGCTTCTGGTTTGGCACTGAAAGTAGCTACTTTATAATGATGACAAGTAAAAGTACAGCCAAAGGTCACATTAAACAGGAGATTTCTTTCACACTTCACCCATCTTCTGGTGTGGTATGAAAATACCATTTTTTTTCCGTACACTGCAGTATTCTTAAAAAGAAGTTACTTTGAAATATTTTTTGGTGCCTTGAATATTACTTTTGTTTATGTTTTAAGGCATAGACTTTGGGGTTCTAGCATATGCTGACTTTAGTGCTTTGTATGTGTTTGAAATTATTTTAAATTGTGGGTTCAATTAAGCAATGTGAGTAGTATTTCAGCCTATGTTTTCTGTTTTGCGAATTTTCTTAGAGGTACAGCTTTAAGTTTTTCAAAGAGAAGAATTAATGTGCAGAGTGATATTTATATGACATTGCAGGCCTAAGTAGGGCTTTATTGTTTCTTATACCTTTTTAAGAAGAAAAGTATGGATTTTTGTCTGAAAACTTCAGATCTATTCAGAAATAAAGTGTGAGCCTATTCATGTTGACAGTTTCTTACCTCTGTTTTGAAGATATTCTGCAAGTAATGCAGAAGGATAATTTAGGCTCTGTGCTCAATCATTTCCTTGTCTTAGACTGAAATGGCCAACCGGGGTGCTAAAAAAAGGTGTCATTTTAAAAATCTGACTAGTCATGTGTTAGATCAGGAAAATGAAGCTAAATTGTATCACAGAGGTTGCTGAACATCTAGAAAATGGTTAGGAATCCTAAATCTGGGGTATTATTGATAGGTGTATTTCTGTTCTAATCTAACTCCATAGAAATTGTAGCAGCCATATTAAGCTCTTCTTCAATTTGTTCTATACAGATAAAAGAATTTACATCTCATGAGTCATATATTTCCTGTTGTATCTTTAATACATCCATTTTTAGTATTTTTCTTGCTTCTCTCCTCTATTGGTATGCTTAGAGGGACTGTGTGTAGGAGCTTATTTCACCCCTGAGGCAAGAAGGAGTTCAAATCAATAGCAGTGTGATGTTGATGTTAAATGATTTTTTTTTTCTTTCCACAATAAGACTTGATTTTGTCATCCTAATGATGCTAGCATACTTCACAGAATAAGGATCAACACTCTCACATTCTTACAAGTAATAAAAAAAACCCAAGTCTTTAGGAGGAAATACTGAAGAGATACCCTGGTATTTGTAACCAAACATACCTTAGCTTTGTAAAACATGTTCTTATTCTGTTTCACTTTGCGCAAGAACTGCTTTACAGTTCATTTTGGAAGTCTGCAGTGAAAGATGTAGGATTGATGAGAGTTGACAGTGATGAAAATACAATGTTTTAAAACAGAGATAACACAAACTATTTGAAATGTAAGTTCAGATAAAATGTGGATCATAGTAAGACTTGAGTTTACAAAAAAAAAAAAAAAGCAACAATCTAGTAGAAATTGTGTTTTCCAAAAGAAGTCTTTATGGTAATGCTTAGAAAAAGAATGTCTGAAAGAGCATAAGATATAGACAGGAAGAAACTGTCACTGTGGGGTTCGGTATTGCCTTCTATATCATGGCCAAAAAGGAGCTGCAAAAAGATGTGAATTTGAGAGGAAATAGTGTAACTGTAGGAAGCAATAGCATGATAAGAAGTTATGGATATAATATTGGTAGCAGTCATGTTTTTTTGAGAAGCGCAGGCTCTTTTGTGTTGGACATCTGTGAGCTATAGCGGAGATGAATCATTCTATTATATTATTAAAATATCCTGCTCTTTACATATTTCTACATTCTTATAAATATCTTTGGCTATATGGGGTAGATGTTGTGTATTGGTTTGGTTTTCTTTTTTCATCTGAAGAGCATTAGTGCTTTTGCATGTTCAGTGTTCATATATCATATAGTAAATAATGGATTTTAGCTTTACTGTTGAACACCAGCAGCCCATTTTGTGAACGATTTTCAGTAGTAAGCAGCTTTATTACTATCTACACGCATGTATATTTTCTATTTGCACTTTTTCCTTTTTATCCTTTTAAGCAAAACATGGGTTCCCAGTTTTCATAATGTAAGTTGCATTGTGATATTTTGGGGTTTTACATTATCTCCCCTTCTACTAATCTCTTTTTTTCTCTGATTTTTCAAAAGGCCACCTGACATTAGGTCACTGTGATACCTGGTGGTTTTTCTGTAGAAGGAACACCTATTATTCTGCCACGAGTAAAAACAAAACAAACAAAAAACCTCGTAATAATTACAGTAACTGTTTATTTTTCAGTAAAGCTAGTAAAAATTCTATAAGCAATTAAAGCAACTTTCTGTGGGTTTTTCAAATACATGTTAACTGCAGGAAATGAGTAGCATCCAAACTTTAGAATGACAGGAGAGTTTATCCACCTCAACTCCAGAAAGTTTTTGAAATCCTGATTGATATGTTTTAATGTATTAGATAAAGCCTATGTCAGGAGCACTTTTTTAGCTCATTTATACTAGCAATGCATTTCTACCTCAGAT